TGAGAACAAAGCCTCATGCGTTGGTCTAAGATTTTCTAAATTGCATACAACAACACTTGTATGCATCAGACCAGCAAAATATGATAAGTCCTCCCCTCACAATTGGTTTAGGATCAGAAATTAAATATTTTTACTATCTAATAACTTTTGATGTATGGTATATAATTAATTTTTCTACCACAATGCACAAAGATATGTTTTCCAAAGAAGATTGGGGATATGAGTTAGTTTTTCTAACATTTGGGGGACGTAATAAAACAACTGAAAAATATGCTATATGAATCGAATTATCATTAATATGATCCTCACTTAGAATATAATTCAAGTCAAATGCCAGAAGCATTTGCTGATCCAAAATTAAATATCATATTTCAGCTGCAAATGCTCCTATTAAAATTAAAGTCCCTGAAAGATAGAGTTTACTGTACGCATGAAGCGTGGTAGACCAATCGGTTCCAAAGGTAACAATCCTTAAAAATAATAGGAGCAAATGATCATAATAAGGAGTAAATAAGCTCTGAAAGAGCCCACAACATAACATTTCATGAAACTCCGGAAGAAGTTCAGGTACCTGAAAATAAATAAAGTGGTGAGATCTCAACAAGTTATGTCGCTTGCGAACTGATACGAAATAATTGTCGACGATATATTTGATACAATATAGTGCATAATATTGTAAAAGATTATGAGGATCGGATCTTTAGTCCAGACACCTGAAGATGCTATGTCATTTAAATGTAAGTCATAACCTATATGACTCATTTGATTAATTCTATATGAAGATCCCTGAAGGATTTAAAGTGCCTGAAGCAAATTCAAAATCTCGGAAAATATATTCAATCAGATTACAAATATCTTTGTATGATTTAAAGCAATTTGGGCGCATGTGGTATAATCGCCTTAGTGAATATTTGTTAAAAAAAGGTTACATAAATGATGTTATTTGTCTATGTATTTTTATAAAGAAAATGGCATCAGAATTTGTTATACTTGCTGTTTATGTTGATGACATAAATCTTGTTGGAACTTCAGAAGAGCTCCAAAAGACAATTGAATATCTTAAGAAGAATTTGAGATGAAAGATTTTGGAAAAAAAAACTTTGTCTTGGTATGCGAATTCAACATTTAGCAGACGAGATCTTTATCCATCAATCTGCCTATATAAAAAGGTCTTAAAACGCTTTTACATGGACAAAGCACAGCCATTGAGTACACCAATGATTGTTCGATCACTTGAAGCGAATAAGGATCCATTCCGAACTCCAGAAGAGGATGAGGAACTCCTTGGTCGTGAAACACCCTATCTCAGTGCAATTGGTGCACTTATGTATCTTGCTAATGCTACAAGGCCTGACATAGCATTTTCTGTTAATTTACTAGCAAGATATAGCTCTTCTCCTACATGGAGGCATTGGAATGGGATTAAGCATATATTGCGATATTTAAAGGAAACTCTTGATATGGGTTTGTTTTATGCTAACAAAGGTAGTCCAGATCTTATTGGTTATGCAGATGCAGGTTATTTATCTGATCCCCATAAAGCTCGATCTCAAACTGAGTACGTTTTTCAATGTGGAGGTACTATCATATCATGGCGCTCCACAAAGCAATCTATTATTGCTACTTCTTCAAATCATACTGAGATAATAGTTATTCATAAAGCAAGTAGGAAATGCGTATGGTTAAGATAAGTGATTCATTTCATTCGAGAAAAATGTAGTTTGGAATGTGATAAAAGATCTACAATCTTATACGAAGACAATGTTGCATGCATAGCCCAATGAAAGGGAGGATTTATAAAAGGAGATAGAACGAAGCACATTTCACCAAAATTATTCTACACACATGATCTTTAGAAAAATGGTGACATTGATGTGCAACAAATCCGTTCAAGTGACAATCCGACAGATTTGTTCACTAAGTATTTGCCAACTTCAAATTTTGAGAAGATGGTATACAAGATTGGAATGCGGAGACTCAAATATTTGAAATAAAGTTTTCATCAGGGGGAGTGAAATACGCGTTGTACTCTTTTTTTCTTACTAAGGTTTTTTCCCATGGGGTTTTTCTTGTAAGGTTTTTAATGAGGCAACTAGAAATGCGTATTACTAAATATGTGTACTCTTTTTCAATCATAGATTTTTTTTCACTGAGTTTTTCCTAGTAAGGTTTTAACAATGCACATTATCTTTTAATGAACATCTAAGGGGGAGTGTTATAAAAATATTATATTGTGGATGTCCATTCATTACTCCGCTATAGATAATCTTCCTGAAAAAGATTATTCATTTAGTACTCTATTGAAATTTATCTACAAGCAGCTGATACAGGCAGGTTGCAAGCAACTCAATGAAATGATTTGCAGCAGCTTCTTATTAAACATGCAGGTTGCAAGCAGCTCATGCAGACAGCTTACACGCAGTTGATGCAGGCAGGTTGCAAGCAACTCAATGAAATAATTTGCAACAGCTTCTTATTAAACAGACATGTTGCAAACAGCTCATGCAGACAACTTACAAGCAGCTAAAGAAAAGCCTTGCAGCTGCTTCCTGAAAAGCCTCGCAGCTGCTTCCTTTCTTCTATAAATAGAGGAGTTTTCAGTTCATTATGAACATAACTTTGAAAGTTTGAATAAAATATCATTCTCCCTCTATACTTGTCTTCAGTTTAATTTTTTTATAGTCTTTATTTTATAACATATAAATATTTTTTAATAAGAGTCCTGCCATGTAAAAATCTAAAAATTTTAGAGGAAGCACCTTGGACCGACAGACTCATGTGCGTTTCACGTGGCATTCTAAAAACATTGAAGTAACTGAAAAAACACTCCACCAAGAAACAAAATAAGAATGTGCTGGTATGTTTACAGGAAACTTATTAATTTATCGTGGTTAAGTTATTAATTAAGAAGATAATATAGATTATGATTTAGTGATAAAAAAAAATATATTAAGAGATGTGTCATATATTCATTGAGTTAATGTAAATAGGGGCGGCCCTTTCCTAAAGTAGGTGTAAAGCAACTGTTTTAGATCCCACATTTTTTAGAGCCCCATTTTTTGTTACACCTAATAGACTATATATAAGTTAAAAAAAGTTCTGTGAAGTGAAAAAATATAATTTCTTTCTTAACAAATATAGAGAAGAAGGATTTGCAACTGTTGTGATTTCTGCCAAGGAAATTGCATTTGAAATGAATATCGAATCCGGATTTCGTAAGAAGCGTGTGATATATAGGAAGAAATAATTTAATGAGAATGTTGATAATGAAATCTCAAGCCCTCTAAGAGTCCTTCAGAGTTGATTACTTTTTATACATAGTGGACAAAGCTATTTTTCACTTCAAAATAGATTTGAACAATTCGAAGCATATGCAAATATTTTTGATTTTCTATTTAGCGTTAAAAAGTTGAGATCACTAGATGATGGAAATTTAGAAAAATGTTGTCTCAATCTTGCATGTTCCTTAAAGCATAATAATCAATCTGATATTGGTGGTTTAAATTTATATTAAGAAAAATAATACAATTAGAAAATAACAGTTTAATTGATATACTCAATCAAATAAAAAGATTTGATTCTTTTTCAAATATCTATATTGCTTATAGAATAATGTTAATAACTCACGTTATCATTATTTCAACTGAAAGAAATTTTTCAAAATTAAAAATGATAAAATCTTAACTAAGATCAATAATGTCTCAAGAGAGGTTAAATGAATTAGCTATATTGTCAATTGAGAAAGAGTTATTGGAGAAATTGATTTTAATATTTTTTTTTAATAACTTTGCATCTAAAACAAAACTAGAAAAATAGACTTCAAATAAAAAATAATAAGTTCTTAAACTTATCGACCATGCTACGACCCCAACCCTCCACATTTGCCCAGCGCTCTGACTTGTAATAGATTTCTAAGCTTATTCAAATAAACGTTTCGAAATATTTTGATTTTTATGTGTAGAAGCATGTCTGGAGAATAACTTTTAATTCAAGTGTTAGCACTAACAAAAGCTGCACGAATGTTTAATATATTTTCCCCATTTGGAAGCGTAGACCCCTGCAACAAGTTGAAAATATTTCAGCCAAATTATTAGTCGGAAAATCTTACCAACAAACTGGTATTCATAAGTCGCAGACGTGCGGACAATTCTACATATATGTAATAGAATGGTGGTAGGGTTGTCCACAAAAGTCAACATCATAGACAGGTATTGTAATCACAGACTCAAAGATTACAATGAATGCTAGTCTCCATGTAAGTTGCAAGAAAGGAAATGCTAAGCATCACAACTTTAAGATACCATACCAGAAAAAATCTACAAAGATCGTAGTCAACAAAGTCTATCAAGAACAAAGATATTAACAGCTCAATGCAAAGATCAAAGAGCATCTTATTGTATGTTCTTATGAATCATACTATGTGAATAAAGTTAACTCACCTGTAACAGAAACACAATCTTTAGACACAAATAGGTATCCTTTAGTTTGTATAAAAAAAGGTATATACGAGAAAAGATACACAGGAAGCCAGGAAGATTGTGATATCCAATCACATATAACTATGTATTATCTACCCTGTAAAAGAAACGCAATCTTCAGACACAACTAGGTATCCTTTAGTTTGTATAAAAAAGGTATATACGAGAACAGATACACAGGAAGTCAGGAAGATTGTGATATCCAATCACATATAACTATGTGAAGGAATCAGATGACACAAAAAAGAAACAACTATCACCTTTGGGAAGGATAGGGAAGGCTATTGAACTACATTCTTTCAGTGGTACTAAAGGGAGGCAATACATTAAGGTGACATATCAGGACAGCCCGGTGCACTAAGCTCCCGCTATGCGCGGGATCCGAGAAAGGGCCGGACCACAAGGGTCTATTGCACGCAGTCTTACCCTGCATTTCTGTAAGAGACTGTTTCCACGGCTCGAACCCGTGATCTCCTGGTCACATGTCAGCAACTTGACCAGTTACGCGAAGGCTCCACTCCATTAAGGTGAAATACCAACCAGAGAAATTCTTTTCTAAAGCGATGTGTGATTATGACAACCAAGCAACAAACACAGAACATCATCCAGTCAGCAGTTGTAAAATTTACATCTGCTCTAGAGATTTTGTACATCCAGCCGGTGGAAAACCATACAAAAGGAAAAGACACGAGGCTACTGTTTTCCAAACTTGAGTTTGCTTTATTTTTTTTCAAGTCGTTGCCTATTAAGAAATACTTCAATCCTGTACTTCTTCTGTCTTCTTGTCCTTTGACAGCATGTACCAACCCAAAGCACCAACACCAGTAACAAGTCCAGCTAGAACACCATAGTTGCGGTAATTGTCATTTGATACCCCAGGTGTTGAAGAGGCCTTGGCACTTGGTGCAGCATCAGCTACTGACCCTGAGCCACCAGCGCTAGTTGCAGCTTGTTCTTCAGGCTTGGGACCCTGTGGAATATCAATCATCACAGGCAAAAATTTCACGGGGTCAATAGGAACTCAGCTGAAGCAAAGATAAGTCAAGAGAAACAGCAAATAGCCCCAGCACCCCGACTTTCACCCATTTTTGTCCTTGAGGAGTATTAAGCTATGAGCTTTTTAGTACTTGACCTGTTTAACATTAAAAATCTTTGAACTAACAAGGTCAACTCTATTGTTAGATCCTAGATCTGTTGAATTGAGCATTTATTTTGTTACCCACATATGTCATTTCTTTATTCAACCTCACATAAGTCAAATTTCAAAAGTTGATGAGCCCACTTCCCGTCAATTAAAGTCAGCTCAATGCCCATAAGTATGGTGCTTATCTCAAAATTCTTGACATTGCACAAGTAGGTCAGTTAGCACACTGTCAAACGGGAAATGACCATTTCAAGTGAATCTTGAAATGATGGGTTCCACACACATAAATGGGAAATGACCATTTCAAGTGAATCCACAAAAGGCTATTCTGATAACACTAATTAATAATTGGTAACATAGCCTTAACCTCATTTCCGCTTTGTAGTTGCCAACTCTCAGCCAATGAGTCCAATCATCAAGGGTGCAGACATGCCTAAAGAGGGGGGTGAAAGGCAGAGCACAATGAATCACTACATATATAAAAATCCCCATACCTTGCGTGCAAGCTTCTCCAGCTTCTCCTTCTCCATTTTCTGTAAAGTGGAAAAACTACTATTTAGAAAGGACGAGAAGACAGACCTCATGCAACATAATGAACACTTCAAAACCAAGTGTAAACTTAAACTTACAACTTATGATCCCAAAAACAGCAAAAGCACATAAGTAAAATAAGAGAATACCCAACATTTACTATTAAGGTACCAAGACCCAGAGGAAAGAAGGTAAATAACTGTTAACAAGATGCTGGTTTGCAACAAAAACTACAAAAGTTAACCGAAGTAAAAGTTCTTTCCTACTTTTGAACCAAGGATAAAAAGCGAAGTTAACTGATAGCAGTTAGCAGCGTGTACATACATTAATGACATACTTATGATACCTATTAATAACTGATAATATTTTGGGTAAGAAAAGGAAGAAACAGAGATATCACATACTTGTCTAAATTGAATTTAGGAGGCAAAATTGTATACATGCTACTATGGCAAATGAGTAATAAGAGATTAAGAGAAAAATGAAACATCTAAAAGAAAGCAAAACCAGGATCCATTGTGATGTTACCTTCTCAAAAACAAAAACAAAAAGGATCCATTGTGTCAAATAGAGTAATTGACCAACAAAATGCAACACAGTTTTTTAGCATTACCAGAAATTTTACTGCAAATATAATGACAGAAGTCATGTAAGTTATAAATCACTACTAAAGACTACCTTGATGTAGACATTTTCAGCAGCTTTTTCCTCCTCGCTTAACACCTTGCCACTGCTTGAGAGCCTACGAGAAACATATCTGAAAGCATTCCTGGCTGCCATCTCAATTTTCGTCTAAAAAATCTTCCTGTCATTAACAAATGAAAAATGGATATCAACACATTTGAAGAATTGAGAAACCATGTATATCCCTTTTTCAGTTTGGTTTAATTCCAGCATCATACGAAATTTCTGCAATTGTCAATAAGTCTCTTGCCCATAAACGAAATCATTTTTTTACAGGATAGATAAGCCACAAGGAAAATTGTGCTACCAAAGAACTGAGATGATGTTAATTCCCAATCTATGTACATACAATCAATGATTCAATGACATCACAAGCAGATTGACCTACAGGATGTGGTTCTATCACTAGGGAACTTTGTGTACTTTCTACTAGCCTTGTTCGAACCAAAATACAATGCCAGATACCCATTCAAACAACAAGAGCTAGCTAAAACTTCTGCTTCAAAAAATCTATGTGGATGATTTAATCACATAAACGGCCATCCTATTCCTCGCCTATTTGACATATTACTAATTCCAGATGGTCAAATGTGCAAAGGAGATCGCACTTGTTATCGAACTGACAATAATTATTGTTACGATAAAAAACACAAACCATTTTAAACAGACAAAAAACTAGTATTCAATTATCCTTGCACTTCAAAACTTCCAATATTTACTGTGTTATGCACCTATATTATAGTAACATAGTATGTATATAACCATCAGATAGAAATGAATGAGCATATAAACAGAAAAAACCGATGCAACATCTGAAGAATTTACAGAAATGACATCTTCATACGGCATAGAAATAGCTCACAAATAGTCAAAAGTATAAGAAGCCACGCATTAAGTAATCGAAGTGCCAGGATGAAAATCGCTGAAATGAAACCCTAACAATACAACAATCGTACATCCATTTCATGGGCATAAGCGCATCAAGATTCGAGAGAGATGAATAGTGCTCTTACCTTGTTGTTTCAGGTCGGTGAGAGAATGCGTGAGTGATGGTTTGCTGCCTTTAGGGGGTTTTACATTTCCCGAAAGAGCAGTAGAAGATTTTATTGTGGACCAGCCCAACATTTCGTTGGGCCTAAACAATGGCCTTCAAGATGTTCAATTGTGTGAAATAGCCACTTTCGTCCGACAAAAATACCTCAGGGAAGAACTCCAGGAACAACTACTGAAATTTAAATATTATAAGTTTAAAATTCAAGAATCGTTCTTGGAGTTTGAATGTCCTATAGGAGTAGCTCTCAATGTTAAAGTATAAAACGTTTTAAAAAATCATGAATCTTTCCTGAATTTTCTTGGATTTTGCATTAGTAAAGGTTCAAAAAGCAATAATCTATCTTAAATATTTTATTTAAAGGTTTAAATTGCTGAAGTATAATGTGAATTTAAACATTATGAATCGTTCCTGATTTTTTCTAGATTTTGTACTAGTAAAAGTTTAAAGATCAGTAATCTTCCTAGAATTTGAATTTTGCACTAGTAAAGGTTCAAAATTACTTATAATGTGAATTCAAAACACATGAATTATTCCTTGATTTTTTTTTGGATTCTCCACTAGTTAATAGGGCTGCTTATCTGGCGGATATTTATGTTTAATGGTTCCGCTTATCGGTTATCGGTTTTTAAATATACTAATCTGCTAGCCAACCGATAAGATATCGGGCGATTCGATATCGGGTTCACAATTATCAGGCGGCTATCGGACAGTTTAAGTAAATCTAAAAATAATGAATCGCGTTTTAATCTCAACTGAGTCTCTTTTGTCCTCTCTGTTTGGTTTTCCAAGTCAACACAAGGTTTTTTAATCTCTTTCTCTGCTAATAGTTGTTAATTAGCAATGGACTCTCAACCTATTGAGCCAGTTAGTTGGGCTTTCTTCGTGGGTGCATGTTGTTGGTCTATGGCAGGTTCAACTCAAATTCAGTGTGGTTGAGTATTGTAAAAAATTTAGAAACATCTTGTGGAAAAATCTGTCATATTATTATTATTATTATTATTATTATTATTATTATTATTATTATTATTATTATTATTATTATTATTTTTGCTAATAAGGATACTTATATTAGAAATTAAGTAACGTAACAATTATAGTTATTACAAGTCAAGACTGTTGGAGCGTTCCAGTCTTCAGAACAGCCCTTATTGAAAGCTAATAAAGCAAAGGGAGGGGGAGATAAGTAATATAAGGGATAACATGGTTGTCGTCCATATGAGGGTGTGAGGTTCATCACATGCTTAGCCAAGGCATCTGCTACAGCATTAGCTTTTCGGTATACATATCTAAGCTCCACGCGATCTAATTCCAGCATCAGTGATCTGCAATCGGAAATAATAGGTAAGTAAAGTTCATTACCATGTCCGACCATGATATAGAGTACCTTGAATCAATTTCTATTTGAAGCGGGCAGAGGCTAAAGTCTTTAGCTAACTGTAGGCTCCGAAGTGCTATTAATTCAGCTCCAGTAGCAGAGAAGCAAGTTAAATTGGTTGTGAATCCCTGGATTGGTCTGAGTTACGAAAAATTAAGAAAAGAAAAAGTCTCATTGGTGCTTTAGTGCTTTTTGGCACTAGACACTAAAGATTTGAGTGGAAGTGGATTAATTCTTTGGACGGAAGAAGATGTATATTAGTTAGAGAAGCCAACATTTGAATGGGACTTTAGCTTAGACATTTTACATACGCAGGTGTAGAAATATAAATATAATAATTATTAACGGGTTAACGGTTTATCCGATAATAAAAAATTGAGTAATTCGTCCCCGAATCGATAAATTGTTAACTATAAAATTTCAATCCATTCACTAATCGTTAATCCGATAACCCGATACCAATAAGCCAGTAAGTAAATTTACGATTTGGTTATCGGTTACGGTTCGATTTTGAACAGCCTTACTAGTTAAGGTTCAAAAATTAGGAAGCGTTCATGAATTTTGGATTTTGCGTTAGTAAATGTTCAAAATTGTCAAAGTACGATATAAATTTAAAAATCATGAATTATTCCTGAATTTTACACTAGTAAAGATTTTAAAAAAAATATCTGAATTTTGCACTAGTAAAGATTAAGAAATAGGAATTGTTCATGGGTTTGAAAATTCAACAAATTTTTAAATTCGAGCATAGTTTACTAAGGTTCCTTCGAACTCTGGTACCGATTTTTAATAGACGGCCAAAAACATAGCCAACCCAGCTAATTTTTTCATTCAATTGTTTGAAGAGAAACTGTTCAAATTTGTCCATGTACTATCTGATACAGTTTATATTTGCATTTCGTCAACAGTTGGAGTCAGTAGTATACTTGCTGTTACAAAAATAATATATATATGCCCTTATTTAGCAACAGTCTACCATTATACATAATTAATTTCTATTCGTTCATATTAGCACAAAAACATGACATGTGGCTAAATAATTAACCTTTTTTCCTCAACAAAAGGTGACAAAAAACGTAAAATTAGATAGACAGACAAGTTAATTTTCTTATAAAACATAATTGTTGTTGCTCATAATTCTCCTGCCGAATTAATTAGGAGTTTTAATCTCTACAACATTATCTGTCAAATTAGAAGGATGTCACAAGCAAAAGTTTAAATTTTGATCGCATTTCTCCTAGTTCGTGGTGAGAATACGAATTTTGTCACGACCCAAAATCCACTATATTCCGTGATGGCGCCTAACGTCGCCGTCAGGCAAACTAACGGCGGTTGATTAATTTAATTACTCATTTTATTACTTTAAAATTATAATTTTTATTAATTAAATAGTATGAAATAGAATTTACCGGTAAATGATAATATTTACACGAACTACAATAATGAACAACCCGTAGGAACCACCAAAACCCGGTGTTACAAGTGCATGAGTATCAACTAGGAAATATAATAAAATACAACATCTGCCCGGCATAGAAATTAGAGAGGAGAATATAAATAACTCTGATGGAGACTCTGCAGTTTGCGAATCGTAACATGAAATGCAGCTCACGGTGAAGTCCCCGCAATAGCTGCGCCTCTGCGCGAACGCGGAGGAAGTGACGCGGACGCGATTAAGGAAACAAGATGACAGAAAACAACAGTCCAAAAATAGGAGGAAATGGCCCGTAGCCCATCCGAAACTCACCCGAGGCCCCCGGGACCCCGTCTAAACATACCAACAAGTTCCATAACCTAACACGGACTCGCTCGAGGTCTCAAATCACATCAAACAACGTCAAAACTACGAGTCGAACTTATGAACTTTCAAATCTTCCAACTTCTAAAACTCGTGCCGAAACTTATCAAATCAACCCGGAATGACGTCAAATTTTGCATGCAAGTCCCAAATGACTCGCATTTCGATCCCGATATCACCAAAGTCAACTCTTGGTCAAACCTCGCAACCTTCAAAACTTTAACTTTTTCGACTTTCGCCGAAATGATCCAAATTATCCTACGGACCTCCAAATCTAAATCCGGACACACACCTAAGTCCAACATCACCATACGAAGCGGTTGAAATCGTTCAAAACCCATTCCGTAGCCGTTTACACAAAATTCAAAATTTTAGTAAACTCTTACCGCTTAAGCTTCCAAAACTAGAATCCTTGTTCCGATTTGACTCTGAATCATCCGGTAACTGAACTCGACCACGCACGCAAGTCAATACACATAATACGAAGCTGCTCAAGACCTTATGCAGCCGAACGGGACTTAAATTTTCAAAATAACCGGCCGAGTCATTACACCGCCTCTCTGCGCCCAAAAGGCTACCAGACATATATGTACCTACACAATAAGTGCAGCAAATATGCATGAGTACGTAAATCAATGCGTACCCAGTAACTATATAGCCTAACCCCAGAGAAGTAGTGACGAGGGATCGACATCGACACTTACTAGTGGTCCAATAAGACAAATACAGTATAAGTAAATAGATGTGAGTCAGAGTAAATAAACGAAAAAACAAGTATAAATACGTGGTACAATTCTCCTATGAGCAATAACTCAAGATCTCAGCTAGTAGTTACCTCCTCAATCAGAGTATATATATAATAGACCTCACCAGATAGGTCGTCACAGTTCAAATCATGAAAACTCACAGATATACTGGCTTCTTGTCAATTATATGTGCACTGCCGAGGGTCGAATGACACGAACCATAGATATATCTATTATATTGCCGAGGCAAACGACCCGCTCCCATGAGAGTGTGATACGTAATCTTGTTGAGGCGAACGGCCCGATCCCATCATAATGTGCGCACTGCCGAGGATCGAATGACACGAACCATAGATGTATATATTATATTGCCGACGCGAACAGTCCGGTTCCATTAGAATAAGAAGCTTTAACGGGTCCTTGACCCCACTCACGAATAGACGTGTGAGTTATAAATTTTAAGGGAAACCTTTCGATGAAAATGCATAATGCGGGAGAAATTCGTAAGAGGAGTATAATTATTTCGCAGCTAATCATGAAGCCAGCCGAATCTCTACAATAGCAAGTCAAGTCGCAACGTAAAATAAAGGAATTTAATAGGCAAGAGACAACTCAAATAGTACAGTTATAGCATGGCGGGAACCTAAGTCTACCCGGACATAACATGAATCTAGTTACGTACGCACTCTCGTCACCTCATGCATACGTAGCCCCCGCAACAAGTAGCACATAACAAATACATCACCTAGGGGTAGTTTCCCCCTCACAAAGTTAGATAAGAGACTTACCTCGCTCTGAAGTTCCATCGCCGACTCCAACGCCACTCTAACACCTCAAACCGATGCTCGTCTCTCCAAAACTAGTCAAAAAAATGTGCAAACCCATAAATACATACTCTATTACCCATAATTAATTAATTTATAACAATTTCTAACTCCGCTCGAAAAGTCAATAAAGTCAACCATTGGTCTCACGTCCCCGGATTCCGAATTTGTTTGAAGATAAACCTTATCCATAACATTACTAACTCAAATATATAATTTATTCTTAATTCCATTTCCAAAATCGTGGTCAAAATCCAAAATTATCAATTCTAGGTTTTCTATCAAATCCCACATTTTGTCCT